AAATTTTAAATCATATTATATTAAAAATCGGTTGCAAAAGTTCACAATTTTTTTTTTTTGTTTGAACTAAAATATTTGTTACATACTATGCAATTTTGCTTTCCTTTTGATTTAATTTTTTTTGGTACGAAATAAAGAATTTTAGTAAAACAAAACTCAATTACCATAAAGGGTATATATTTCTTACATACATATGTATGTATGTATACTTTTCTGGCATACAAAAACAAGCAAATACATATTTTACATACGAATACATTATAAAACTTGCAAGTGTGGCACATACGCTCTGTTCTCACGCACTAAACTTAATTACATTGCATGAACTTTATATAGTTAAGCTTAAATACATACAAATATCAAAACGCCGTCACATAATATTAAGTAAACATCGCATTAAATACGTTGGATATATGTATATTATATAATATATATGTATGTATGTCTATCGATTATTTCTGTGTTTTGTATTGAGAAAGCCTTACGCTAGTAATCAATATATATATTTATTTATATAAATGTATGTATGTATGTGTAGCTAATAGTTTGGTGCTTAACACTTTAATAACATATGCTTGGTTTAGCAAAATTTTTATTACTTTTTGTTTATATAAAAAATATTAATTTATATTTAAGTGTTTACGTACATTTGAAGCGAATTTGCAATTTTTATTTTGTAATCAAGCATTATAATCAACCAAAGTGGCAAGTAGGGCTTACGGCTTTTACTAAAATTTTTTGGTTTTAAATTAAAAACTCATTGCATGGTTTAATTTTTTTCGAAAGCGAAAACAATTACTTCATAGTTAAATTCTCTTGTTCGAAATCGCATACTCGTTTGCTTTACAGCTCTATTTKTTTGTTAGACAAAAAGCCCAAATGATCAATTAGTAATTTTTTACATTTTTTGCTTGCCCGAAAATAATTTTAATTTTTTCTTACTCAATCTGYTTATTTCTATTAATTTGTCTACAATAACTTATTAATTTGCATTATATTTAACATTGTATATGCATTTATTTCAATAAATATCTCTACTTTTGAAATTTTTTTTTTCTTATATCGATTTTAACAAATTTCGTATATTTCTTTTTAAAGTATTTCTGAGGTAAATTAAATATTTTTATGATTTGGTGCAATTTTCCAAAAATATTT